CAGTCAACGGAAATTACTCAAAATTTAACAGAAGGTAGAGAATTAGATTTTTTACTTACATGTGAAATTTCATTTATCTATCTGAAATAGTACTCAAGTTATAGGCTTTTGAAAAATTCAAAGTAGGAAAAGTACCACTTCCGGTTATCGGAAATCGCTCAAAAGTTGATACGGATCTACGATTTTGATAAAATACTTATATATGAAATTTCATCAACCTAGCTGTAACGGTACTCAAGTTATCGTGTTTACACACGGACAGACACACACACAGACAGACACACACACACACACAGACATACGGACAAGATTGCAAAATTATGTTTTTCCGTATCAGTGAGGTGTAAAACGTCGAGATTTGTAAAAATCTCGATTTTTTTTTTTTGCACGATTACAATACTTTCTCTATACTACGTATATACGAGAAAGTAAAAAAGGGAAATAAGTCACGAAAGTTGTTTAAACGTTTGCTTATCTTTGAGAAGTTTGATTGTAGGAGAAAGAGGACTCGGCTTTCACAGTGGTTTAAAAACGAAGGAAAAATGAACGTGGGGTGGTGTATATAGAATAAAGATAATCCAACCGCAGCTACGGTAATCTTGTTTACAAAACAAACATTAAGTCAAAAATGCAAGAATTTTTTTTTAACTATAACAATTTTTTTTATGGTCAGCCGTGGGCCCCTAAATGGCGTGGGCCCCCCCGCATTGCGGGGTCTGGCGGCACTGTAGTTCCGCCCCTGATAACAAGCCTGACTTAACGGACGGGTCTATGATAGACAGTTATTTTGTTGGATGCCTTTCATGTAGTCAAATTAAAGACAAAGCAAGAAATGAGATCTATGATATCGCACAGAAGATACAATATAAGAACCCTAAACAACGGGGCCCCTTGCAGCAGGCAAGCCCTTGCATCTACCAAACACTTACAAGAAAACATGACTCCGTATGTCCACGTAAACTACAGTTAACGACAGGTCGACACTAAAAATAGTGCAGACAAGGGGAGCTACTCCAGTTGCAATTCGTCATGTTCCTATAAATATTTTACCCGTCTCTGCTTCTGTAGTTATAGAATCAATCTGTCTCGAGGAGTAAATAGTTTAAACACGTATTGTTTAAGACATAGAAGTAATGTTAGGAGTAGTGGGGCGGGAGGGGGTGAGTGACTACAATGTGTGTGTGGGGGGGGGAAGATAAGTGGGGCGGGGGTGGGTGAGTGACTACAATGTGTGTGTGTGGGGGGGGGGGGGAAGATAAGTGGGGCGGGGGTGGGTGAGTGACTACAATTTGTGTGTATGTGGGGGGGGGGGGGGGGGAAGATAAGTGGGGCGGGGGTGGGTGAGTGACTACAATGTGTGTGTGGGGGGGGGGGAAGATAAGTGGGGCGGGGGTGGGTGAGTGACTACAATTTGTGTGTATGTGGGGGGGGGGGGGAAGATAAGTGGGGCGGGGGTGGGTGAGTGACTACAATTTGTGTGTATGTGGGGGGGGAAGATAAGTGGGGCGGGGGTGGGTGAGTGACTACAATTTGTGTGTATGTAGGGGGGGGGGGAAGATAAGTGGGGCGGGGGTGGTTGAGTGACTACAATTTGTGTGTATGTGGGGGGGGGGAAGATAAGTGGGGCGGGGGTGGGTGAGTGACTACAATTTGTGTGTATGTGGGGGGGGAAGATAAGTGGGGCGGGGGTGGGTGAGTGACTACAATTTGTGTGTGTGGGGGGGGCGAGATAAGTGGGGCGGGAGTGGGTGAGTGACAACAGTGTGTGGGGGGGGGGGAGATAAGTGGGACGGGGGTGGGTGAGTGACTACAATTTGTGTGTATGTGGGGGGGGGGGGGGGAAGATAAGTGGGGCGGGAGTGGGTGAGTGACAACAGTGTGGGGCGGCGAGATAGGTGGGGCGGGGGGAGGGTGTGAGTGACAACAGTGTGTGGGGGTGAGATAGGTGGGGTGGGGGAGGGTGTGAGTGACAACAGTGTGTGGGGGTGAGATAGGTGGGGTGGGGGAGGGTGTGAGTGACAACAGTGTGTGGGGGTGAGATAGGTGGGGTGGGGGAGGGTGTGAGTGACAACAGTGTGTGGGGGTGAGATAGGTGGGGTGGGGGAGGGTGTGAGTGACAACAGTGTGTGGGGGTGAGATAGGTGGGGTGGGGGAGGGTGTGAGTGACAACAGTGTGTGGGGGTGAGATAGGTGGGGTGGGGGAGGGTGTGAGTGACAACAGTGTGTGGGGGTGAGATAGGTGGGGTGGGGGAGGGTGTGAGTGACAACAGTGTGTGGGGGTGAGATAGGTGGGGTGGGGGAGGGTGTGAGTGACAACAGTGTGTGGGGGTGAGTGACAACAGTGTGTGGGGGTGAGTGACAACAGTGTGTGGGGGTGAGTTACAACAGTGTGGGGAGAGACAAGAGAGGCGGGGGTGTTTGAGGGACAACAGTGTGTGGGTGATGAGATTGCGGGGGTGGGGGAGTGACACCAACGTGGGGTGAGAGATGAGTGGGCGGGGGTGGGAGAGTGAAGCCTGTTCACACACAAAAAATGTACATCTTCCAACAAAAGATGGCGCCGAACTTCGCCCGGGCACCAGAATGTACAGCAAGACCACAGACGACAAATTTTAAAAATCGCTCTCCATATTCAAAAGTTTACACGTTTCAGTCATTTTTATCTCTAAAAAAAATTAAGATACGACGTAACTAGTTCTTACTGGTTATGTACCGCTAAATGTTTATATGGGACAGATCAAATCATTTTACTTGTATTAGAGCGACATAAATACCATAAGAAGTAATTTACTCTTTGGACCAGTAGAGAATGTGTTGTCTTATAATTTTTTAGGGGAAATGTCACTGTAGACGATATATCTGGTATCGAGTACTCAACATGTTAGGGAACAAAATCAAGCGATACACACGTCACTGTAGGCGATATCTCTGGTATCGAGTACTCAACAAGTTAGGGAACAAAATCAAACGATACACACGTCACTGTAGGCGATATCTCTGGTATCAAGTACTCAACATGTTAGGGAACAAAATCAAACGATACACACGTCACTGTAGGCGATACCTCTGGTATCGAGTACTGGACATGTTAGGGAACAAAATCAAACGATACACACGTCACTGTAGGCGATATCTCTGGTATCGAGTACTCGGCATATTAGGGAACAAAATCAAACGATACACACTTCTGAAGTTTTGTCTGAGGTATTCGAAAAAAACATTTTCACTTTAAATCTCCGGTTATCCCTTCTTACTCGTATGATGTGTTTTTTTAACTAAATATGCGGCCTATATTTTACACTTTCCAAAAAAAAACATTATAGATGTAGCCTAAGATATTTTATACATTTTTTTTTTTACATTTGGAAAAATGTTGCAATAGAAACTGAAAGTTAAGCTAATACAGTGTAAGGTTTCAACAGAAGATTTAAAGGCCGCGAGGTTTTGCGTTACTTCTTGTAAGTTCTCTGTTTGGTTTTACATCGAGTTGCTTTAATATGTGCGTGATGGTGTATGGTTGCCTACATATTTGTCTACGTGGTGGTGTATGGTTGCCTACATATTTGCGTGGTGTTATGTGGTTGCCTACATATTTGTCTACGTGGTGTTGTGTTTATTGACATCATTTTATTTACTTGGCTGTACTATTGGAAATATGTTCAACAGAAAGCTGAACCTGTTTCTCGTGTTTGCGTTTCCCGGGCAAGTAATCCAGGAAAACATTATATGATACCAAACCAGGAGAAATAAGGAATAAACAGATAAACATATCTGTTTTGTTTTTGTTGCGGTATTGTTTTTGTTGCGGTTTTGTTTTTTGTTGCGGTATTGTTTTTGTTGCGGTATTGTTTTTGTTGCGGTATTGTTTTTGTTGCGGTATTGTTTTTGTTGTGGTATTGTTTTTGTTGCGGTATTGTTTGTGCTGCTGTTTTGAAAAGGCCCTAGGAAGCAGTATTTAATTTAAATTCAATAAATTGAGAGCCCCCCCCCCCTGCCACTCATTGAGTAATTTACTTGTGTCTATGTCAACATGGTGGGGGAATCTGGTTTTGTCTGCTTTAGTTTGGAGCAAACCCAAATAAGGAAAACAGTTGTGGAATTTCTAGAACTATCGATTAGTGTTCTAGAACCATTGGTTAGTTTCTTTGAACGTGTGTTGATGTTCTAAGACCACCTGTTATTGTTCTATAACCATCGTGTTGACTACACGTTTTTCTACAGGTTCTTGTTGAGACCCTCGCGAAAAATAAAAGGTGCATTAGTGTAGTAGAACAACAAGCGGCTGCCAGAAAGCATTAACTGCGGGACTGACTTGCGAGTGGATTGTGAGATATCACGCAGCATGGGTCGTACTTGCCCAGCGTTAAGACGGTTGGTCAATATCTACAGCTGGCGTGACACTCATCTGCTTACTTCTGACACAGCAGAAATACAGATGGGGAAATGTGGCAAAAGCTTTTTAAATTCTAAGTTAGGCCTAGCTATTTGTAAACAGTTCAAGTAATTAAGGATGGATGCGGATACTAGCTTGATTAAATAACCTCTGTTAAACAAAGAAGAAAATATAGGCATAATAATTAAATAATCTTTCTACGAACCAAGGGTATATATCTAAGGTGACGCTTGGATTCCGGGGTATGGCTAAGATTACGCTAGAAATTGTAGGTATGGCTAAGATTACGCTAGAAATTGTAGGTATGGCTAAGATGGCGCTAGAAACTAGCTGTAAAAGAAAGATGATTATAGAAATTAGGGTTGTGGTTAAATTGATGCCAGGAATTTGGAGTATGGCTAACGCAATGCTAGGAATTAGGGGTATCGCTAAGATAATGGTAGGAAGTGTTGGTATGGTTGGGGAGACGCTAGGAGATAGGGGTGTGGCTAACATAATGATAAGGATAGGGGGTGTGGCTGAGATAATGGTAGGAATTAGGGGTGTGATGATTGAAACTAAAGGTAAGACTAAGACTAAGATGACGATGTGATGACGTCAGCCTTACCTGCATGCGCCCTGGTGTTCGAGACCCGAGGATATGTCTGAAACACGGTGTGACGTCACGCTGTCCGGAGCAAATCAGGAGCTGAGAGTGTGTGGGGGAGAATTGTGTGTGTACTGGGTTCATGTCCCAGCTAGACCAAGTCGGTAGCTCCAAGACCCGCTACCTCAGCGCCTAGCATACTGTGCCTTGATCCTAGCTATGTCTGCTTACTTTATCTCAGCTAAAAACTGGTTGGACTAGATCGATTCAATGGAGCTCAAGTTAAATCTAAATGGATACCTAAAGTGTATTACTTTCTGGGGCAGTTATTTTAATTAGACTTAAAACCAAAATTAACAATAAATGTGTCACTGTATCTTTGTTAGCAAAATACTACCTGCGCTAATAATGCAACTGTTGAAAATATTTTAAACGCGTATTTATCCCTAAAAAGTTGAGTTTATTATTTAATAATCACTTGCTACAAAAATTTTGTGAGCAAATATTATTTTAGGATCACAAAAGTATCTTTAGATATTTTAACTGTAGATAAATATTCAATGAAAATCATCCACTTCACAGATTTCTGAAAGACCGCGATGCCGCGATAAACTCCATTTAAATGTTAAAAAAACTGGCCAGTCATGCTTCGCTGTTTGTTGTTGATGCGCTGTTTGTGATGCGCAGATGACACCGCTGATTACAGAATCGAGAATACTCTCAACTCCTGTCTAGACTCTATCACAATTTGTTTCCTCCAGCACAAAGCACTTTCAAATCTTGATTTTAAATGGATGTAATAACCAGTGAACACAATTAAAATGTCTAGTTGGCCTCGCAAAAATTTCAGTCAATTTGCTACAAAATTTAGATTTCTCAACACAGATAACTTTCTATTGATTATAACATTTGCTGCTATTTCAAAATCCGCCTATTTTTGTCGAGTTTTATTTTTTTTATTTTACTTTTTCGTTTTTCAAAACTTTTTTCTTAAAATTTGTTTAAGTTAATATTGTTTGCAGTTTTATAAATTTTAGAAAAAGTTAATCTTTAAGTGAAACTTTAAAACTACCTGCCACTTGACTTTACGTACTTAAAGTGGTGGTATATTGATAGCAGATTACCGAAAATGCCGCCTCTCCTCAATCAGACGACGGCTTTAAAAACTTTCGTGGCTCCGCAATTCGACGTGACGTCACGAAATATATTTTTAAACATTCACTGTGTAATACAAATCGGATTGTTTCCCCTCGCCGTAGTTGGTGGCGCTCACTGACAATCGCGACTCTGAACAGCTCCAATCTGGGAAAAGTTTGCGTCATAATTCGAGCCAGCGCGCGACGTCCTACGCCTTAGGACGCCTCCATTTTCTCTCGCCTTTTTATGTCGTGTCACCAGCTACGATTTCATTGGTTGATGGTCGATACCGTTCGTCTGATAATCGATACATGCCACACTGTAAAAAAACCTTTTTTTTTTTATTCTGACCGACTCTGAGCAGAATTTTAAGTATCTTAGAGATGATAAAATCACATGTAAATTGGGTTTTATTTTATTTTACAATACATTCAATTTGTATTCTAATATAGATCTATATCACATTAGAAACTAGAGAAAATCAAGGAAGGCATCACTTGAGGTGGTTTAAATGACGTTTACCTGTCGGCTAAATAATGCATGCGTTACGTCATCGTTTACCTAGCCCGCCTCCACGGGTGCTGACCACACTATCCCTTCTTAACATTTTTTCTTCCAGACTTTTTTTTCTAAATTCCATTTCTTTCGGGGGAGGGGTGCCTGGAAGAAACTCTTCTTCGAGGTCACAGAAACAGGTGAACTCTACTTTACCTAGAACATGGATCATCAGGTTCGTAAAGGGTACTTCACTTTTACCCTCCCCTCCACTAACGAGTTGGAGAAAAAAAAATCTTTAAAACGATCAAGGGGAAACAACCATGAAATTACAGCACGTATTGCGGATTATAATTGCTTGTGATATTTCACGAGCGCTTTTAAAAATATGCTTCAGTTGTATTAGGAAAATAATTACATCAATCTATCACCATAGCGCGTCTAGACTTTTATATTTCAATTGTTGGGGGACGGGGGCTGTAAAATTATGTTTGGGTGGAGGAGATTGGCTGAGTGTCCCTATAGCTCCCGAGATCCGTTCATAGTAATACAACAAATATGTAATTAAAAATTAAGTACAAAACACGTTGTCCACTGATTTTGTTTTCTCTGATTTTGTTTGGTAATGGATGGGGGGGGGGGGGGGGAGAGACACTAAGCCACCCCCTAGCACCAGCCTGTTTCCAAACTAACAAAGGCTGAGTGCAACTGTGTGATACCAGAAGCTTAGGAGAATTTTTTATTGCATGAGATGACCCATCAATCCACTCTCCCAAAATTGTTAAGACCACTGACCATTCAATTCAATGTAGCTTGACCCTTGAGATTAACCCCACTCTCTTTATATGAACATTTGTGTTGGTTAAGTTTACAGTCTAACCAGCCAATGTTTACCTTCAGGATCTTAAACCCTCTGGGTATTTTTCTTTTACTTACACTATACAAATTGCTGTTATATAGTTTGAAAAGATCAATGGATATAGTTTTAAATAATGCAAGACTACAGATTAATAACTCAATACTAGATGGAAGATTGTCACAGTTCTACCACATACCTAATCAACCCCCTTAAGATTTGGTACAAAGCAGCAGTTATGACAAACAGCACCAAATAAAATCAAAGTAATTAAGACAAGCAGGGTTGGAATAAGTATAAGTTTACATCTTCATAAATTTACAAAGTATGCTTTATTATACACATTTTATGTAACAAAAATACCTACTGTAACAATTTTTTCATTACACAAATTATTCTCCAAGAACATAATTTTCACAAGAAACATCCAATGGCAAATGAGTAGCATCCCATGTTGCTTCTATACTACCAGTCTATGACAGTTTATCAACATAAATAACGAACCAATCACATCAACAGCCAATTCTTCCATCCTTCATAAGAAAACAGTTGTCCTGTATCAATCAAATCCCTATGACACCTATACCCCGCCCTACTTGAGTGGCTTCAAGCGCTGCCTTATCTCTTCTGGTGAAGGCTCCACCCCTGTCACCATCCTCATGTACCGGCTGTGCTCCTGGTTCCTCTCTTTGTGTTTCAGAGCCAAGTATCTGACAGTGGACGGCAGCTTTAACTTTGCTAGAGGGTCGACAAACTTCTTTAGAGGAATCTAAAAAATGATGGGTGGCAAAATATCACTTATTACACCAAGGATATAAAAAAAAAATCTTCAAATTCAAATATGAATTTAATGAATTAGGAGCCTGAAGAAATTCCTGTGTTCCTAACCAAACAAGTGAACAGTATTAGTCTTACATCATTAATAATAGGTAGAGTCGATCTTTTTCACTCCTATTTAAAGTCTCATATTGATAATATCAAACATCTTAACATTAACATTAAATTTGCTACTGAAGATCTAATACAGCTAGTTATAATTTGTTGGCTATTAAATGTCTACTAATTATCACAACAACAAAAAATGTCAAAAACAATCAGATGTAAATAAAATAAAGTCCTTTGCTTAATTAGCCACATACTGTGGGGTTGGACAGAACGAGCATATCACTGGCTTGGGCTATCATAAACAACACGACAATCCATTCCTTACCCTCCCATCTTTGTAGTACAAGTTATCAAACTCAAAGCTGTCATCTTTGATGGGGTCTGGCCTTGTCTGTCCATCACTAGGTCTGGCTACAGGAATGGGCAGGTTCTCCAGCTCTGGCCTATACTCCACCACATTTAAACGCATCCGGTCGGCCAGCTGTTGGTGAGTCTCCTAAAATGTAAAGTTCTTTATTCAGGTGTTGGTCTGCACCATGTATTGGGGTCTAAACTTAAAATTTACCACAGGGGTCATATAAAAATAGCATTAAACTTTTTTAACATCTAAATGGTTACAAGTCCCACAATCTAAGGTTAATTACAAATTATTTTTGTTTTAAATATGTATTTATTAAAACACACAAATAATGTTTAAACACTTAAATACTAAATAAACATAAAATGTTTTCTAGACATGGAAATCAACTATAACATGCACTAAAATTGAACACTTTTGTCACCTAATCTATAATAACATGCACTAAATAGGAGCACTATTCTCACTTGTTCCATGATAACATACTCTAGAATGAAGCATTATTCTCACCTGCTCCATGAGACCTCTGAAGAAGGCTTTAGTTAGATTCTGAATGTTACCAGTCCTGCCTTCAGTTTTAGCATAGAGGTCCTTAATCCCAATGACTTCACACATTGTCTTGATCACACGATGGCAGATCAGGCCATAGCCTTAGAAAAAAGCACATCATTTGCATTTTAGAAAAAAAACTATCTCACCCTTTATTGAGTGGTAAAGAATGATCTTTTATCAACGTACATTGTTAACTTAATTTAAGCTACATTACTCTATTATTTAAGACAGTGAAAACAAAGATTAAACAATGTATACATGTAAGCTTTCTTGCAAGTGAAAGGAACATGACCCTAATTAAAAGGCAAAAAAACATGATCCTAATTAAAAGGCAAGTTGTAAATAGACTGTACCTTCAGGTCTTTTCTGAACAAAAATTGTTGTTTTTCCCTCCGTTACAGCAAAGTCATGAAATACTGGGGGAAAAAACGTTTCAACAAACTCAACTTTGGTGTGGAAATACATTTAAAGGAAAACTAAAACTTTTATTTTTGAACATACTAACCAGTATGATTGTTAAATCTTTCAAAATACTGCAGACGTTGAGCTGCCATATTCTTGGCCTGAAAACATTTTTAAAAAGAAACTATTATTTTTTTTTTTTTAAAATAGATAAACACAATGCTTTAAAAAACAAAAGCAAGTTGTTTACTCATACAGTAAACTAAATTCAAACCTTTCTCAAAGCTCCTTTCCCAGTTGGTGCTTTTGCCAATGCAAAACCTGCAAATGATTAGAATGTTAATTTAACATGTGTAATAACTTCAACATCACAAGTTTACAGTTACAGAATTTGAACATTTGCTTTTAAAAAAATACTCTGTCCTCTCTCACTAGAGAGTGAACTAAAGGCTTACCAGCAAGACCAGCACCATTTCCTGTGACTACTAGAGCACTTATTCTGGATTTTCTGCCATGATTTCCTGTCATGTGAGCAACCATTTTGTACTGTAATGGTAAATAGTTTTCAATTGCAAGTCAGTGACATGTATTAGAAAACAGGTAACAAGAAGTTCAAGTAGAGTAGATCTACAATTCTCTGATAACAGAAAATTAAACTCTTGTATACAAAAACAAGCATTATTGCATTTAAACCAATGTCTTTCTTTTTGGTTATTTTAAAAGTTATTTGTGTATTTAAATAAAAGGTTTTGTACATTTTGAAAATAATTGAAGAAAGGAATCAGATAGTGCTTACTTCTATAACTTTGGTGTCAAAACCAGTAAATTCATCTGAAATGATAGAATTATTAGAGAAAATGTTCAATTGTCTTTTTTTGTTTAAATTAAAACAAAATCCAAAAACCAAATAAAAACATGGTTTCATCCTTTTTTTTAAATATGAAACACAATCTGCATATTTATGAGCTGAATCACTTACAATCATTAATAGGATCCGGAGGACCTATGCTAGTTCCAGGAAATTTCCTACCACTGTAGCCTCTCTGTGAATAATAGCCAGCAATATTTATTGAAAAGTTTAATATGCTATCAAAATAGGTAACTTATTCTACGATGTCTGAACTGGTACGTTTTACATCAACTATTGATTTAACACAAAGGTTAACTGAAAATTTCTATCACAGGTTCAATTTCATTTCTACCCCAATAATAAATTACAGGATGTTAAAAAGAATGTAGTAGATTCTGACATTGACTAATCAACTAGGGGCAAAACTATTCAAAGCACTAAAAAAAATAATGAAATGAATAAGTCAATAATGCACCTGCAGTGCTGGAACTTTCAACCTTTTATGTTTTAGTATTGGTGCTGTCTGTGTTTCTACAGCTTCTTGCTTCTCTGGCGTGTGGACTTTCAAAATTTGTTTGCCCATAATAGCTGGACCAGTAAGGCCAGGGAACACCATACCAGACTTGCCTTGAAAAACAGCAAATTATTATATCACAAATATAATTAAGTTAAATCACAAATATAATAGAAATTAGATTTTACTTCAAACTTTGGAATAGCTAGACTGAAGTGGATAAAAAAATTGTAACTGTTTTAGTTTTGAGCAAATTAAACTTATAATATGTGCCCTAAACTAGTATTTAAATGTAGCAATAACAAAATACTAATATTACTTAAAAACAATAGTAATTATAAATTTATTTGGTATTTTTTAAAATAAAAGTTATGTTTTTGCTATTGTAGCAAATCCATACTTAACCTTGATCACAATCTTTATCGTTTGGTTAATTTTTTTGATGAACCATTTAAATTTACTTTAAGCGTACTGCATCAGGACTATTTTATGCTTTTAACAATGGATCTTACCAACTCCAATTCGCTGACCCCTATTGAGATCAACTTTTCTTTTGACATTTCGAGCACGGCCTCGTTTTCTTCCAGCATTGCTAACACTAGTAACACCCAACCATAATTGATCTGCGGACACTGTTGGAAGGAAGGATAAAACAGTCAATAGTGAATTTAATAAACAACAATAAGAAAGAATATACCTTTTATTAACTTAACTTAAACTGACCTGATTTTACAAAACTGGTGTAACTTCTGCTAATCAATAGACAGGAAACAGAAGGTTTGAACAAACTGACACATTTTTCTGAAATAAAATGTAAGTAGGCCTATAATTTTTTAATACATAAATATTATTACTGGTCTTTAAGCTATAGGCCTAATGTTATTGTAACAATGCAAAATTTGTCTTCTTCTTCTTCTTAGTCCTCTTTGCTCCTTATGGAGCATAGGGCCTCCACCATTTCCTTCCATTTCTTCCTATCCTCGGCTATTAATTTTGACATCTCCCAAGACATCCCTATTGGCTTCAGTTCTTCAAGAAGACTCCGCCTCCAGGTCTGTCTTGGGCGCCCTCTCTTCCGCTTTCCCTGGGGGTTCCACTCAAGCGCTTGGCGTGTAACATTGGTGTGAGCCTTTCGCAGTGTGTGACCCACCCAGCGCCACTTCCTCCTTCTTATTTGCACACCTATAGGCTCCTGCCTAGCTTTCCTCCATAGTTCCTCCATAGTTCCAAGTTCGGCACTTTGTCCTGCCATCTCAGTTTCAGTATCTGTCTAAGGCATCTATTCATGAAGGTCTGTATCTTTGCTGTGCTTGCCTTGGAGACTCTCCATGTCTCTAGTACTCTAGAGTAGCTAGACTGAAGACTTTGACACTGGAAAAATAGATTCTAGATCTAGATCTAGATCTAGAATCGAGACTAGCCAAACCGTGAAGCTCCAAAATGTAAAAAAACAAAACCGTCATCATTCATAATTCATAATCATCCATACCACACCAATTATATTATTATGTCATAATCGAGCAATGAAAATTTTCTTAAATTCTAAAACTTTAAAAACTAATATCGTATTTGCCTTTTGCAAAGGTGTTTATAATACATTTGGATTTCAATGTGACCGCACGAATAAGGTAGGACGTCGCCATTTTGTTCGGCAACTAATTTCAGAACGATTCTATTGGATAATACATGAAACATTAAAAAATACTCCACGTGTTGATGAAAAGTCGAAACGAAAAAAAACAATGGATCTAGGCCTAAGTAAACTTCACAGTACACTAGGCCTAGCCCCTAGATCTAGATCTACCAGCCAATCCAATACTATTCTCGCGCACTATACAGTGGCCCACTGGAAGGCCTAGATCTAAAAATAGTGGTAAATACAAAAATAGTTTAGTTTTTAGTTTAGTTTAGTAGAGATCTAGTAAAAATCCAAATATTAAATAAAATAAATACTATTTTAAATAGTAAATAGATCTAAATGCCTACTAATTTTTTAAAATAAATTACTACTAATTAATTACTAATATGAGTAATAGTATTAGTACTATTAGTATTAGTTAGTAGTAATACTTACTTACTTAGGCCTACTTATTAATTAGTACTTATTTACTATAGGCCTAGGGCCTACTTACTTGTACTTTAAAAAAAAATTTCATAAAAAACGTTTTAATAACCAGCTTTTATGTAATGATGCACTAAAAAGTAGAAAATAAATTTTAAAATTATACACTACTATTTAAATTACTATAAAGAAAAGCGTGGGTCACTTTAGTACCTAATATTTGAGAAGAGACCCACGCTTTTCTTTATAGTAATTTAAATAGTAGTGTATAATTTATTTTCTACTTTTTAGTGCATCATTACATAAAAGCTGGTTATTAAAACGTTTTTTATGAAATTTTTTTTCAGTATTTTTTTTCAGTACTTTACATGTTTTATTTACAATAGTGTTACATGACTAAAAACCATTGCGCGTCTATTGAACGTGATGGCGCAGCTATTAAACCTGATGGCGCAGCTATTGAACGTGATGACGCATGTGGTGTGGTTGGATAGACATGCCTACTAATTCGGTCCAAATTTTAATTAATTCATAAAAATTAATGAGGCATCCGATTAAGTCAAATTTAATTTCAGATTGCATTGTCTTCATGTCTTGACCCACGTGTCAAATGTGAATCGTATCCGTCAAGTAGAAGTGTCCAAAATTTCACTCCTGCGTTTCGATCTAGACTGACGACAGACTGACGACAGAGGAAGTGAGTTAAATAAAAGCTTGTAAAAATACTATTTTTTTAGTATTTATTCACTGAATAGTATTCAGTAGGCCCTGCCTATACTATACTTTATTACTAGATTCTATACTCAATACTGCCCTATCAATACTCAGTATACTGCTAATAACTATAGGAGGCCTACAATAGTAATAAATAATACTAATAATAGTAGTATAGCCCTGAAACCCTAATATAATAATTTTATTTATAATCATTTTAATTATTATTATTAGCCTATATGTAATTTTAAAATAACTTTATTATTATAATTAGGTCTCTGCACAATGGCATACACAAACATCATCAATGACTACATTGCTGGAGCTTTAGGAGGTAGGTTTACACTAACCTAGTACAGTGGCATAGCGAGGTCGGGTGGCACCCGGTGCGGCACTTAATGGTGTCACCCCTCAGAGGCGTAGCGCCCGGGGACAAACTTTCAAATGTCAATTTGTACCCCCCCCCCCCCCCCCTCAAACTTTTGATTTGCACCCCCTCGCTACCCCACTGGCCTAGTATTATAATTTATAAATCAAGTTACAAAAAATACTACAAATACGGAGTGCAATTGTTTAGAAAATAAAGTTACATATTTCCTATTTTCAAAATTATTTTTAAAATAAACTAATTTATTTTTCTTCTAATAGAAAAGTTTATAGGAAAATTTCAATTAATATTTTATTTGGTTTTACCATTACATTTAGATAATCCCATGTGTTTTTATGATAGCTCTACTGCAGTATTTTATGAGATAGATCTCCTAAAATATTGTATCAATCTCAGGTTGTGCTGGTATTACTGTAGGTCATCCATTGGACACCATAAAGGTAACTTTTGTTTTTAATTTGACTCAGACTAAAAGTATTTTTCAACTTTAGAAATTAACAATTTTTTTTTTAATTTAAAATAGATTCTGTAATAAAATTTCTTTTGAAGGTTCAAATACAGACCCAGGAATATGGAGGAAAGTACAAGAATTTATTGGACTGTATAAAAACTGTGCAGAGCCAAAGTTTGGTAATACTAAAATCTGTTTTCATTATTCCTGGGATACCTAAATGTTCATAATTCATTGTTTTTTTTTCCAAAAAAAAAAAAAAATCAGTTTAAATGGTTATTACAATTTGACAATTTTGAGGTTAAAAAATAAGCTATTGTTAAGTAATTTATGTTAAATCCCCACTGAAAATATGGTTTATGAGTTGCACGTCCTTGGGAATAGTAGGTTAGAGGTTCTTCTTATCTAATACAAGAATACAACTGATATTAAAAGCTACGGGTAAAAACCAAGAAACTATTTCTTTTTACTCTTCAGGCTAAAGGATATTTCCGTGGACTCAGTTGGCCCCTCTTTTCTTATGGATATCTCAATGCGATTTTCTTTGGATCTTATGGGATTTTACTCCAGAAATTTGGACACTCAGAAGAGACAAAGAGCAAGCCAAGATATTTAACCATTGGCCTTGCTGCAGCGCTGGCCACAGTGCCGCAGCTCATTTTCTCCTGCCCTGTGGAAGTGGTCAAGGTGATGCTCCAGTCGCAGATACCACACACACATGATGGTAAACACATTGCTAGAGTCTCATTCTTAAATACTGTTGTAGAATAAAAGGCTAATTGTCTTGTATAGTGTAGAAAAGATTTAGGTACTTTAAAATAATACTTAATTTTAGTAACATTTCTTATTAACTGTATTTGTTGAATAAATTTTGATTTTCTGCTTTATTATCAATTTGAATGTAATCCAAACCAATAATTTTTTATCGTTTCTTTAACATAAATCAGTATGAGATACATTTTTTGTTCTCTTGCAAAATTTTAGATTCATCTTTGGCCTCTGTAATATTTCTATGTACAAAATAGTGTTCTTCGAAAATAATGTTTTATGAAAAATCTTTTAGTTCCCAAGGTGCAGTTGAGCAAGTATTTTAATGGACCACTTGAAGCAGCGCGGGCTATCCTCAAAAGGTCTGGTATCCAGGGTTTTTATCGAGGCTTCTCAACCCAGTTTGTCAGGGACACCCCTGCAGCCACCATGTACATGACAGCCTACACGTTCTTCCAGTTTGAGAGCCTGCATCGCATCCCAAGTGTCCCAACTCAGCTGGTCAACTTCATCGGGGGAGGTGTTGCCGGGGTCCTCAGCTGGCTTATCATCATGCCATTTGATGTGGTCAAGAGCAAACTGCAGGCAGATGCACAGGGGCTGATGTACAGGGGATTCTGGGATTGTGCCCAGCAAGTGTATGCTAGAGATGGGGTTAAAGCATTTTTCCTTGGCCTAGTCCCCATGGCTGCTAGGGCCTTTCCAGTAAATGCTGTGACATTAATGGTTTACTCAGAAAGTTTAAAGTATTTAAAAAAGATTGAACATATAGAAGATTAAGTATAATGCATTCAAATAGTAGCTGTGATCTTAAGGTTAAAATGTTGCCTTAAAATGTCATTCTATTTTTACAGAAAAAATGGCCCAAAGTAATAATAGTTTTGTGATAAATGTATTCCTAACTTTATAATCTTACCTTACAAAAATGGCTTTTTAAAATGTATACAAGTAATGTTTTTTCTTTAACATTTTACTAACAGTTATTTCTATATTTACATGTACAAATATTGTATCAGTAATTATTTTTTCTATTATGTACTATGTATTGATGTACCAGCTATTGATGTAATTTTCCATTTTTAAATCATAATTGTAACCTTTTCTTTATTTGTCATTGGTTAAGCTGATTGCATTTTTTTCTGTGCAGTTAAATGTTAACAGTATTTTATTTAGCATTTACTTATAAATAAACTGTTACTTTTGCATTTATTGTATGACATATATCTACTAACAAATACTGGTGTTTTTTCCCCCACTAGTCGTTTTTTTTTTTTTTAATGAATTTTTTGGAAGAAAAATGCCTATACATGCTTAGCTTTCTCTGACTTGAAAAAACTTTTACATTTTGAATTCTCGTATTACATTCTAGTCTACATCTATTTTGATTCCAACTATCAGCTGTTGTTAGTTTACATCAAAAACTTTAAAAATGAAACTCAAAACAGGGTAGTTGAAAATATGAGTCATGGCAACACCCAGCCCAAAACTAGGCAAGAAGCATTTTGTGTTGCTAATGCTAAAAGGAAAAAAGTACATTGTAAATTAATAAATCAGATCTATTAATTTTACTTCTGTAAACATCGTATTGTGAAATGTGTGGGTTTTGCTAAGTTTCAATATTATATTACTTTAATTTAAAACAAAATAAAAACCTAATTAGAAATGATAAAGGCTTATGCTTTTGTAGGTTTATACACTATATAGCCTATATTTTAGTGTATGTTGTGTGATTTATGCAAGTATTTGAGTGGTCAGTTATAATTTTCTTTCTTATAACTCAGGTGTTATGTGTAACCACACTTTTATGTGAAATAAATTGTTGTTATATACATGATAAAATATTAAAATGTTATATTCACTACGCTAACTAATTAAGGCAATATTCCTAACATTATATTTACATTACTACACCATGTTATTTAAAATAGCAATTATGTAATACTTCTCTAGTCCAATATAATTTTCTAAGACCTAATTTACCCTCTTTGTTATATAATTATATTTTATATAATCTAAATTTATATTTAATATAATCTAATCAACACTTAACTTAGTATTACTATGCTTAATTATGTTACTGAATCCTATGTAATGCTACAATGTTTACAATTTATATTTGGCTATTGAAAATTCTCTGATGAAATGTGCATTTGTTCTCTCTTCATTCTTGAAATCAAAGTTTTTCAAAGAACCTCCTATCTGATCAGCAGGCAGTTATGGTCTTCTTTCATAACATAAACAACACATTTAAAGTAAAACATTACATGACTCTTATACAACTAAGTAATCTTTTTTGTTCTCATTTTATTCTGTAAGCTACGTGATACAATTTTCACAACAACAAAACTGAAAAATCAAAAATGTTTTACAACAGGCTCTTTTTACCAGTAAAGCCTATATGTGTATGTACACTAATTATATTTTATTATTTTACAATAGCATTTAAAGCTCTACAAAAATAAGTCATTTGTGCAAAGCAATATTTTTTACATTTGTATTTAGTTTCTAATCATGACAGTCATTTTTTTTGTTAACCACCATAATTTTGGCTTTAAATTTTACACTATGTGAAAATACAAGTTTAGCAATACCTCACTATACATGTAACATAAGTGATTTGAATACTCAGTCCAGGAGAAGTTAAGTTTTTTGCACTTTCAATGTTATTTCGATTGAAAATAAAATTACTATTTTTAAGTTACTTACTTTTATAGTATAAATGTTTTTTAGCTTATTCCATCCTATTAAACTCAGTTTATTCAAAGCAAACCAATTTTATTTAATGACATAGCAAAATGAAAACATGTATCCTTGCAGGTATTTTGAAATTAATAAACTTTTACATTGGTCGTTTGTTGTTGTTTTTTGTACATGAATGTATTTTGTTTTACAAACATAATTTGATAAAGTTAGCATGCAGTCAGAACATTCTTACTTCTAAAAATAAACATTTAAAATGACTACATTTAACAAGGGTGAGTAAAAGTTACTTTTACAAACAAGAATAACATTTAGTTGACATATTAAATGACAAAAACCAAAATAAAGTACTGGTAACATACAATTTTTTTTTCACTAAAGCTCCGTAAAAGAACATGCTTCTTCAGGTGTTATTTAGGTTTTTGTCCGGAGCTTTTTAAAGTAAAGAGACATTTATTTATTATTTCTCCTTAAATAATCCTAAGGGATTGACGTTACATTTTCATAACCACCGTAATTCAAATTTTTAAACTGAACTACCCATTCTCTATCCATTTTTTTTTAAAAACAGCTTTTGTTTAATTGAAAATAATCAGGCTGCCAACCATCAACGTATGCTTTAAAAATTTATAGATTCTAAAATGTTTATCCATAAAAATAAATTTACATTCAAGAAACTGCAAATGTTATATGCTGTTATCATTCTTATTTTTTTGTACCTAAAGGATGGGAAGCACAAACATAAAATCTTGAATACTGGTTTTATTTTCATTTTTTTAGTGTGCATTTGCTCAACAATTTTAACAAATATTGTCTTTAATGAACTTGTCTTTGGCTGCTAATCTGTGTTTATCTGCTTTTTAATTTGCCATACATCTGTGAATTCTTTGTAAGTCGTAATATGTTAACAAGCTTAGAAAGTTGAAAATCAACAGTGTTTTTCATAATTTCAAAAACTTGTTTTAATTAATATCATTTTTAAAAGTTGGTATTAAACCAAGTAATTAACCATATAAAGCTTAATACTGTTAGATGTACTAAAGCGTTGTCAAGCTTTGTGCTGTACTGTTATATAGTCAAGTTGTGTACTATATTGTTATATAGTCAAGTTGTGTGCTGTACTGTTATATTGTCAAGTTTTGTGTTGTACTATTATATAATGGTGCTGTGTGCTGTACTGTTATATAGTAATGTTGTGTGCTGTACTGTTATATAGTCAAGTTGTACTGAGGACTAAGTCATTTTGTTCCTTTTTCATAACATCATACTAATGGGATTATTGCTATATAGATAACAAAAAAAATGTATTGTTTTATATTTAGGAATAATGCGATTTAAATACCGTTCCAACTATTATTTTAATGCTACACATGGGAAAGCCTCTCAAATTGCCATCTAAAAAAATTTAGCTAAACAAAACATAAAATTGTACAGTTTTCCATTTCCATGTGTTTTCAGTGTTTGTTTCAATTAGCTTAACTTTTAAACATATCTCAACCATTGTCCTGGCCGTACCACACAGTCCAGTAAGGTGTAGGAACTTGTGGATGCTTCAAAAAGAGCCGGTCAACACAAACGAGATGCTCTCTGGCGCCATCAAGGGCAGGTAATAGAGTCTCCAGATGCCTCCAGACACAACCACTGAAACAAAGTGTGTGTACACTTGGTTAGGTTTTGGTTTGGTGTGACTAAGTGGATAATTATGTGAGGCCTTTGTGTGTCACAATTCTGTGAGGTCTGTGTGTAAACAGTTATGTGAGGACTTTGTGTGTCACAATTCTGTGAGGTCTGTGTGTAAACAGTTATGTAAGGTCTGTGTGTGTACAGTTATGTGAGGACTTTGAGTGTATGAAACTCTTTATATGCTGAATATTGTGTGAGTACACTATTGATTTCAAGGAATGTCTTTAGTGTTCAATTCAAAACCAACTGCGCGAATAGCATTCTTCTTTAACATTCTTTTTTGAACGGTCTTGCGACCCTCACCCTAGTACCCCCCCCCCCCCCCCCCCCCCTCCCCAAGTGATTTGATAAAACCCACCAGAGCGAAAGCCTGACTAAAACATTGAATAGCAATGGGGTGGTTAACATTTGTGGGTATGGGGGGGGGGGGGCTAAACAGGCTACTAGTACTGCCAGTAGTACAGTACTGCTACTTACGTATTTCTCCCTCGCGAAGGAGTTCTTCAAATTTAGAGCAGAGATCGTCACAAGGTTTCCATGACTCAACCTTGACCCGGCTCTGACCTTTCACCTGAATATAGAGCATCATCGAGTCGGAGATGTTGATCTGGTAGTGACGATTAAAATAATTTAATTAATAAAATTTAATGAGACGATGCCTGGTTGACAACATTTAAACTTTGACTGATGTTACAAAATATCAGTGAGCCGACAGTAAGATCAGTACAGTACCGCTATACTCAGTGATTCTTCCACACATTTTTCTCCGGGGGAGGGAGGAGAACTTACAATTTTCGGGGGGGGGGGGGGGCGGACACTGTTAAAAGTATATATTTTCTATATAAGTTCCATTTCGTTCGGGGGTGGGGGCGGTAGACTTTCTTCAGACCCCCCCCCCCCCCCCGGAGAGATGCCTGGAAGAAACGCTGGTTATACTGCGGCTGTACAGATGATGATATTATTTATAGAACCATCATTGATTTATTACTGCTAGAACTTAACCACGGTTTAAAATGCAAGATCCGCAAACGGAAAAATGCGCTACGGAAAACTGCGTAAAAAAAAATGTGCGCAGAGGAATTTATTTTCTCAATATAGATCATTCATAGATATTAGCAAAGACAGTGTACACAGTAGCATAATTAAACATTTTTTCCAACGAACTACGACAAAATTAAAGTTTATTAGAAACATAACGAAGGCATTTTTTTTTATTATGTTGTTATGTAAGGGGACAACCCACAGCCCACAAAGACATATAAATATATTAAATAGTAAGGGGGCACCCCGCAACCCACAGCAAACATGAAAGGAATCTTACATATGTAAGGGGGGGGGGGGCAAACCCACAAGAAACATTAAAAAACATAGAAGGAATCGGATGTAAAGGGGGGGGGGGGCAACAAGAAACATTTTTTTAAACATTACAGGAATCGAATACTTGTAGAAGAGACAACCGGACAAGCCATTAAAACTCAAGCTTACGTTTTTGTAAATCTTCCCACTGTAGTTGGCGGAGACTGACAGCCAGTTGTAGGCGTCGATGTAGACGGTGTCCTGTGGCACGAAGTAGGGGCGCTGATACAGGGACCGGAAGGCTTTAGCGGCGTAGTAGTTGCAGTTGATCCTAGGGGGAACCCAACGGAATGACAATAAATTTCATTACGCTTCAGTATCTATGGTCAATTCTGCTGCTAGAGTTCGTTATCTGGCGTGTTTATGAATTTCTCGTTGAATGTAAAGAGGACTTTCTTATAACAATGAGGTTAAATATACAATTATTACTGATAAAAAAAAGGTGATTAGCACAAACCAATGAGCGAAGAATTTGTCCAGTTTCCCAGCAGAGATCATGGCGAGAGTGTCCAGATGGTCCAATTTTCTCAGGTTGCTAAGGTAACCACAGCTATCGTATTTGTTCAGCACGGGATTATTGTTATAGGCCTAGTGGCGAAATACAAGGTTACAAAACTTGTAAAATTAGGGATGGTTGTTGTAGGTTTAGTGGCGAAATACAATGTTACAAAACTTGTAAAATTAGGGATGATTATTGTAGGCCTAGGGACGAAATACAAAGTTACAAAACTTGTAAAATTAGGGATGGTTGTTGTAGGCCTAGTGGCGAAATACAATGTTACAAAACTTGTAAATTAGGGATGATTGTTGTAGGCCTAGTGACGAAACAAAAGGTTACAGAATGTCAGAAACAGCCTTGTGATGTAACTTTATTGATGTAACAAATGATTGATCTGAAGATCTTTAGCAGCACATGAACTACACAAGTCAACACCTGTGTCGAGCTCAGATAGCTGTCATTACATGGACTGCGTGCATTAGATAATGTTACGAATAAGAACTGTCATTTGTCATCGCGAAATACTTGTCATTAGTCTGTCATTTGACACAATGAATAATTAATTCATGTATCTTAAAGACAATTATTCATGAAGGTATCTAACGACAACTATAAATTGATTTCCTAATTCCTAATGACACCTATAAACTGATATGCCCAATGACAACTATATAATGTTGTGCCTAATGACAAGTATATAATGATGTGCCTAATGAAAACTACATAATTATGTGCTTAATTACAACTACATAATGATGTGCCCAATGCCAAGAATATAATGATGTGCCTAATAACAACTCTTTAATGATGTGCCAATGACAACCGTATAATGATATGTCTAATGACAACTATAAATTGGTGAAGGTCTTTAAGTTCCATTCCTGCAAATGGATTGTATAAAAGGTTGCTGGAAACCTTAAATAGATGAACCTTTGTCAAATCTCAAGAACACATTAACGAGGCTAGTCCGTGTTTTAATCGTGTGGGGTAACCCCATTTGTAAAAATGGGAGATAACTTGTTCTATATAATTAGGGGAGGGAAGTCAAGCAAGGGAGGTTTTAAAAACATCGTAGTCACTTTTTTTAATATATAGGATTAAATGCAGGTTGCCCCATGTGTATAATTTCATAACATAACGACATCTTTTCGTAAAGTTTCACCTCTGCTATCTGACCAATCGACAGGTTTTTCTTTGACGTTGCCCAGTCCTTGGTCCCGTCAGTAACAATGACGGGGATGTCCCTCCTAACGTAGTCGTCCATCACACGGTCGGCAGTTGCATTTTTTATTCTGGCCACCCGGTCTATCGACTCGCAGACCTGCCACAAAAACAAAAGTAAAACTGACCTTGAAGAAACGAAACGAAATTAGAGATCAGCGTAAGATATCCTTATTTGCGTGAGCTAAAGATAGATTTTTTTTTATTCATAGGAATAAATGGACACAAGGGGAGGAAATTTTCAGGCTTGCGACAAATCAGGCAGTTACGTGCCCTGTGTAAGTGGCGAGGGCCAAGTAAATATCACTTAAGTTTACAGGAATAGAAAATAATTACAGCTTTAAAATCATTACCCCATTGTCGTGGTAGGTATTGATTTGAAAGAGAAGATTGTGTGTGATAACTCTCTTATAGAGATCGATGTCTCGCTAGAATAGTTTCAAGAAGCTGTGGTAGAGATGGACTACGACGGGGAGGTGCTAGGCAAGGTGGGGGGGGGGGGGCTAGGTGAAAGTGGGTGTAGACTAAAGGAGGGACTAGACAATAGATGAAGTAAAAAGGAGACTAGGCACAAGGAGTAGGACGGGAGGCTGAGCATAGGAGTAGGAGATGGGGGGGGGGGTCTAGGCACTAGGTATAGGAGGGGGGGGCTGAATATAGGAGTAGGAGATGGGGGAATCTAGGCACTGGGTATAGGGGGGGGGGCTGAATATAGGAGTAGGAGATGGGGGAATCTAGGCACTAGGTATAGGGGGGGGGGCTGAATATAGGAGTAGGAGATGGGGGATCTAGGCACTAGGTATAGGGGGGGGGCTGAATATAGGAGTAGGAGATGGGGGATCTAGGCACTAGGTATAGGGGGGGGGGGCTGAATATAGGAGTAGGAGATGGGGGATCTAGGCACTAGGTATAGGGGGGGGGGGGCTGAATATAGGAGTAGGAGATGGGGGATCTAGGCACTAGGTATAGGGGGGGGCTGAATAAAGGAGTATAAGATGGGGGATCTAGGCACTAGGTATAGGGGGGGGGGGGCTGAATATAGGAGTAGGAGATGGGGGATCTAGGCACTAGGTATAGGAGTAGGGGACTGAGTACAGAGGAGAATACGCACTGGGTAAGAGAGGGGGAAATAGAGTCTAAGTAACGGATGAACTAAGCAAAGTGTGGGTGTGTGTGGAGGGGGGGGGGGCTAAACACTAAATGAGGGCCTAGACACTAGGTAATGTAAAGTTATGGCGCTATGTAAAGGGGTAATGAGGGGAGGGGGTGGGGTGATAATAGGTAAAGAAGTGTCTAGGCACTATGTGAGATGGGGTTACTAAGGGCTAGTTAGAGAAAGAACTAGCTAAAGATGTTTATAGTTTTCTTTCAATTCGTGTTAAGAGATATAAGAAATATGTTTTCATCATTCTGATGAGATTTCACTTTCTGATTTTAAAATACCTTTTAAAGACAAATCTGGGTTTACTGAAAACATCAGATAATTTCAACATACTTCAGACCTCAAACATCTGTTTAAACCAATAATTGAATACCAAAATAGAAATAGGCAGTGGGCAGCAATCGTTACTCAATATTTAAAACTAAGTACAGATTGCTTTTCTCACAAGTAAGATTTCCTGGATCACAGGAGAATATTTTTTCTTTTATAATTACACAATAGATAATTTTAGTGCGGTATTAATCTTTTTTATTTTATTTTAAAGAGAAAACATTGAATTAATTCCTAAAGTATTTTCTCTGGTTGTATTCTTTGTCTCTAACCCAGGCTTCCTTGTGATTCGTGGTTCCTTCATTCATATCTCACAGAGAATCTTACCTCGCACTTGGAGGGGTCAAGGTCGTCGTTGCTGACGTGTAGGGGGTTAATCACCAAGCAGTCAGACGTCCAGTCCCATAGTGGTAAAACCTGACACACAAAAACACTTTTGGGTATTAAACTGTCATATGAATGTTGTATCATGTAGTTTATTCAGTTTGATTATGGCACTCACATCGTTTGAAATTTCCGGAGGTTGGGGTCACGGTGGGGCGGCGACTCAGGTTAAATTACACATTTTATTTATAAATTATATATTTTTCTATTTCGTCGGGGAGGGGGGTGCCCAAAGTAGATACAGGTAGTTATGTCAGCAGTTGGATACAGGCACTTAACAGTATTTTTCCAGACTTTTTTCTCCGGGGGGGGGGGGGGTAGGGCACTTGAAATTTTCGGGGGGGGGTATGGGGGCGGACTAAAATTTTCGGGTTTCCGGGGGCGGACACTGTTAAAAAATATATTTCCTATATAAATTCCATTTCGTTTGGGAGGGGGGGGGGGGTGCGGAAGAAACTCTGGTACTTATGTAAGAACTTAGATACAGCTAGTTATGTAAGCCATTAGGTACAGGTAGTGCCTGCAACTACTATACACTCCATACCGAGCCCCTTTAGGCTTTTCTCTGGGTGGGATATGCCTCCAACCCCCGAACACATTCACCTGACTCCATTGATATTTGTGGCTAGGAGTTTCCATTTTTCGAGATAGTTACATCATGGATTTCTTTTTGATTAAAGGGTAAAATGAATTGATTTTTAACTGGTTAAAAGATGAACTAGAAAAAAAAACCGACAAGTTAGACCTGTGGTTAATGGGGGATGGGGTATTTAGATCTACCTTTCCGTCTTGAAATCCAATGCTAAAAAGATTTTTTTGTACATAAGTGTGGCTAATTATCGGTGTTATCAGCAGAAATCAATGTTGCGTGCGTCTATGTCTTCGGATTTCTATGGCCAAAGTGTATGTTGTTTGTATGTATTGATTTATCAACAGGGAGGCTGAGCGTTGAATCGGGGGTGAGGAAGGGGTGTAATGGGTGAGTGTACGTTAATTCTAAAATATTTTTTGTTGTTAGAAATCTTTGTTTTGATGAATGACGTAGATGGAAGAAATGTGGTTAGGAAGAGAATCTTTTTTTTTTTTTTTAATGTAAGCCATCTTTCTGTGAAGTGCGCAGCTCTTGATGGTCTAGTTAGCCTCCTATACAATTAGTCTTGTTATTGTCGGTGGGCCTCCCAGGAAGAACAAATCGAATGTCTGAGCGCTTTGCTTGCCTTTTCTCTTCGCATAATTTTTTTTTACCAAAAATGTATAGCTATTTATAAAACTTAAACCGATTAGTCAAACCATTGTGATACTACTAAAGCAAGTAGGACTATGTCATTATTAAACTAGACATCCGGGGACCAGTGTTTCTTCCAGACTCTTTCTCCGGGCGGGGGGACTTTTTCGAGGGGGCGGACTAAATTCCATTTCGTTCGTCGGGGGGGGGGGGGGTAAACTTCTTCGGCGCCCCCGGAGAGATGCCTGGGAGAAACTCAGCCGGGGACATAGCCTTTATGCTTATAGTATAAGTCTTAAAAGTATTTAATTATTTACAGCTGTGTTTGTCTGTTTAGCTTCTTCCATACACTGTGCATGACTGTGTCGCCCCCACTAGCACTAGTCCACGTCTAACTAGAGAGTTGCGCCTTCCAGCTTGGTTTAGGCCTACAGGTCATTACCCCGGGTAATGCCCTGTTCCCATGGTGAACATTCAGTGACTTTGGCCTTGTTTGAATTCAATGCTACATCATTTAACGTCATTTATTAAGTTTTTTTCACATGAAAGAGATATAGGGGTATAGTTTTAAAAGTAAAGTCTTAAGACTTTAACTAACGAGGTATCTAAATAGAGAGTGCAGCTAACTAAGGTTTAGTCTTTAATCCCCCAAGACATCTAACACATCGCCCAAAAAACCATTCGAACTTTAGGGGCAGGTGAAGTACAGTTCACGTGTTTCGGTGACATCAGCATATGAAGGGGTGGCGTGGCCAGCACTATACCCAGTCATACGCTAACGTAAGTCAAGTACCCGTTAGAGCTGGGTAAACTCTAGCAAGACAGTCCCATATATTCAGTTAATATTTCAACAAGGCAAACATCCAGTCCATCTTTTTAATCACCGGCCATGACCTTATTTTTCCTAAAACTTTAACATCCAGTCCATCTTTTTAATCACCGGCCATGACCTTATTTTTCCTAAAACTTTAACATCCAGTCCATCTTTTTAATCACCGGACATAACCTTATTTTTCCTAAAACTTTAACATCCAGTCCATCTTTTTAATCACCGGCCACGACTTTATTTTTCCCTCAAACTTTAACACCCAGTCCTACTTTTTAATCACCTGACGTTTTTCCTCAAACTTTTGACGATTGCTTCTAAATGTTAATCGAGTTTGCCGCGGAAATGTCAACTGCTTTACAATATTTAACAATCATTTCAAACTCCCAGTTGCCATCGTTATTCGAGTAAGAGAGTTAGTCAATATTTTTCTTCAGCTGCAGAGGTTTGGCAGTTTTCTACAACAACATTACGTCGTTCAAAGATTGGCGTGTCGTCGTGAGGTCGGGTGGGTTTGGTCGATGACACAGAAACATCCTCGACCAAAAGACGGCGGTCGTTCGATACATGTGGTAAGTGACTACATGACTAAACACAATAGTTTAGTTCAGTACAACCACAGGTGACGTCCTCATCAAGTATAGTGTCAAATGACGTCCATCAAGTATAGTGTCAAATGACGTCCATCAAGTAAAGTGTTAAAGGACGTCAATCAAACAGTGTCAAATGACGTCCTCATCAAGTATAGTGTCAAATGACGTCCATCAAATATAGTGTCAAATGACTTCCATCAAGTATAGTGTCAAATGACGTCCTTCAAGCATAGTGTCAAATGACGTCCATGAAGCATAGTGTCAAATGACGTCCATCAAGTATAGTGTCAAATGATGTCCTTCAAGTATAGTGTAAAATGACGTCCATCAAGTATAGTGTCAAATGACGTCCATAAAGTATAGTATTAAATGACGTCCATGAAGCATAGCGTCAAATGACGTCCATGAAGCATAGTGTCAAATGACGTCCGTAAAGCATAGTGTCAAATGACGTCCATTAAAATGGCCTCTGATTAAGCGCCTTACTCGCCACACTGGCGATGACAACAAGTTGAACATTTGCGAATTTTAAATAAAAGCGCCTTGGCTTTTAAAGTTGAAGACTTTTTGACAAATAAATCGCAGTGCATAGTAGTTGTTTTTTTTTTTTATCTTTGAAAGCTTTCAGAGTGTGATGAAAATTTCGAAAACAGAACATTCAATAGTAAATTATACGGTACTAAAAAAAAGTATCATAATATTATGTAAACCTGCGCAGAGGAAATATATTTCAAAAGGATTGAGGAGAACCATAGTTGTAACGCCGAGAGCTATTCTCACAATAAATGGTATATGCTTCTACTGATAAATCTTTCTCTAACCCTGAGGGGTCATCGATTAGAAACATACTAAAGACGTACGTACCATGGTTGTAGAGGGGGGGGGGGGGGGGTCGGTGCCATGCAGGGATCTACACTTAAGTTCATTGATGTCTCTTGACATTTACACGAACCTTTTTTTCCTTTAATGTTAACCCGATGTTTACTTTCGTTTTGCTCGTATCGACGTAAACAACAACTGCGAGACTGGGTGGTACTAGCTGGGGGTGTATCGATGTCGGTGATGATATGTTTCTGTAGGCCTGCTCTTGCTATAGAGAGGTTGCACACACGTGACCAAAACCACGTGATGTTTCATCCGCCGCCATGTTGACCGCCATGTTGATGCCCCATCGCCGGCCTTAACAACCGGCTAGGCAGTGGAGTCTTCAGTACAGTTTTGTGTTAGACTAGTTCCAGAATGTGTTCAGCTTATGTTAAAAGCCTCGCACCTACCGAGCAAGAACAATACATTTAAAAAAATTGAACTTTTATGCATTGAAGATCCGTATCTTCTTAGTGATCAGCGTCAACTTGTAGAGTAGATGATTTCTGTATTTGGCCAAAAATTGAAAACATGGACATAGTGAACTATTTAGTGGAGTATTTAGTCTTTTCGACCAACAAAGTGACACAGGAACAGATGAGAAACTATAAAAGCATGAAGTCATATGTATACTTTACGGATGGGCTTGTGTCCCAAATAAAATGCAGAGAATTTGGAAGCAAAGTCGTCGTTGTTGCCAAAGTAAGTCAATTCTATTCTATACTCACATACTGAATCTATACTAATACTATATAGATCTAGTGTATATAGTCTAGATCTAAATCTAATAGACTAAATATTATGTCTTATGATGTTTACCTAAATATTTAAATGACTTAGGGGTAAGCAGGGTATAAGTATAAGGCAGGTATCCCACTTTTTAAGACCTGTCCATTTTTCTGGATTTTACTAATCCAATATTAATAATATTGATGATTGTTCTAAACCATTCTCACATAAAATAAACACTAATTTTACATTAAATTTGGTGACTTGTTCTGCTCAGTGGTAGTTGATGGCAACATTTGGTATGGGTTTACCATGCTTAAAACCATGACGGTAAACCCATGATGAGCCCATTCATAAAATAAAAAAATCAAATAGAAAATTAGTACCACTATAAGGTACCAAACTTTTTAGGACCTGTACATTTTTGTTGATTCTAATAATCCAATGTTTTCTAGCTTGAATTATTTTTCCTTTTAATCATCTGCAACAGTTTGATTTGTGTTTATGTTATAGCCTCAATTTGTTAATTAATACTTGTCTTATTTTGCAGGTCAAGCATTCACTGCTGTGGACAAGTGTGTGATTGAGATAAAGTGTCCTTCATGCACTAAGGAGAAATTGTTGAGTGACATATCCAATAAGGAGGCCAAAAAGCTTGGTCTGGGACCAAATAAACAATTAAGTTGCACACACCGCTACTACTATCAAATCCAGACCCAAATGGCAGCTACCAAGTCTTCATATGCTGATTTTGTCACATGGACAACAAAAGATGTTCACATAGAAAGAATTTGTT